CAAATTAACCTGTTTAAAGGGTCGGTAAATGACAGCATGCATCACACAGGCAATTATTAATTTCTCAGGATCAATTCTTGGAGGCACTCGAGCAAGACTGCATGCTGCAGATGACTGTGTTGCGGTGCAATAATCTCCTGCATGAGCTGTTAGCCTCAAAAAACTCAAAAATCGTATCCCGACGTTTTTTTTTAATGTAGGTCACAGAGAGGCTTGAAAACTGGTTTCATTTGATCCTCAGAAGCATACTTTAGCGTAACTGCATACATTTGATCATTTAACACACTCAGATAAAGCAGAACTTCATCCAAAGTTGTGGTTTATATCTTAACAAAATAAATGGTGTAAACCAAGGAACCGATGTGGATATTCCTTCTACTGTAAGTAGTTACGGGCTCTCAGTGAACTACTGCAGCAAAACACAGGAACACTGGTTTAATCTAGCCCAGTCACAACAGATTTTAAATTACTTATCGTACGAAAAGTACCAAATTTTAAACTTATGGCTAGCTCATTTATATAATAGAATTACCACACTAGCCTGTATTCTGACTTGATTTGGTAATAACATAGAATGACTAGAAATCCAGTTTTAGGTCATTCGTACTCCATTAGCTAGGAACCAAGCCGAAAATTTCGAATTTCTTGTTCGCCCCATTCTGAAGCTGCAGAGTTTTTAACTGAGCCTAGGGTCATAGGCCGAAGCATTACGGATTTTAAAGACTGACACCGAAAAATCTCCCACTTCGGAGATTTTTAGTCGTCAGGTTACGAAATCAGCCCAAATCTCCATCTGATGTTAGAATAGAACACGAAAAGAAATTTTAATTTATATTAGGTTTGCTACTTTATACGCGGTAAGGGGATGCAACATTATCATCCCAGCCGAGGCCCCTTTTCTTTGCATGCAAAAAGAGACCAAAAACAGCCAAAAAAAAAACTGTAACGCAGCAACTATACATGTTATTAACAATTTATTTGCTTCATTTCTTGCACAAAAATGTATGATTGCACTGGCAAGCCTGCCGCATAGCTGCTTGGGTCTATTTCATCCGGCACTGACAAATTCGTAGGCAAGTATGTCAACGTTCCGCATTTCTTGTTGCTTTAAAATTTTGGGCTGAGAAAATTTCAGCCTCTCAGCTTTCCTGGTTCCCGAGTTAGCCACTTCCCCGCCAAAAATTTCCATGGGGCTATACTTGAGGACCACGTACACCGAGGGGCTGAATTCGATAGCTTTAACTTGTACATTTACTAAGAAAATCCCCTGAAAAGTTCAGCTTCCTAGCTTTCCTGATCCCCGAACCAGCCATTTTCCCGCCAAGAAATTTCAGGGGGTGGTACGTGAGAACCACGCATGCCTGGG